GCCGAGGGGGGGCCCCACCAGTGGCAGGCCCCCCCCCCCTCCACCTCCTGGCAATGCTCTGCCTAAGGCAGCCCAGGACACCACGAGTCTTCTTTGCAGCTCGTGTTCAGCTTGGTGCCCGCCAGCACCCCCAGGGCCTTTTCCACTCGTGCTGCCGCTGCTGCCTTCACCGAGGTGTGCCGCAGGCTGGTGCTTGCCCTGCCCAGCTCAGTGAGGGCTCTGGGTGGGAGGTCCTGGGGCTGGAATTTCGGATCAACGTGCCGCTGAGCCCTGCCGGCTCCTCCGTCCGCCCGGGAACTCGTGCACTGAGATTTCCTGGGCGTAGGCTGCGGCGCGGGGCATCCATGTTGCACTGCGAGTCTCCGTTGCTCAAAGAAGTTCCTTGTTACAGGCAGGCTGAGGGCAGGATTCTGCCCGGCAACCGAAGCCATGCTTCCAGAGACCCCGGGGAGGGCAGAGCAGCATGCCGAAGAAGAGCCCCTGTACAGCTGCCATATTCCATCTGAGGACAGCCCTGCTCCTCATCCTCTCCCAGCATTGCGCAGGAGGCTCCTCGCCTGCTCCCAACAGGCTGCACGGTGCTGCAGAAGTCAGGAGGGGAAGACCTTGGTGGCAGGACATCAGGCAGGTGCTCCTGAGCACCTTTTGTATTTCCTTGGCTCACTGCAAGGGAGCAGGGAGCTGCTGAGAAACTCTGCGGCCTCTGTCTTGCTTTATATATTGCATAATGCATGGTGTAGCTGCCTGACAATATGGGGCACCCCGTGTTATTAACGGGGTTAATTGTAATTTCCTGCTCCCCTTTCCCCTTTGCAGCATTGTGAAATGTTGCCGTGGAGCTGGAAGGGGCTCTGGTAGGAGAGGAGGTCTGAGGAGTCGGCAGCAGGCAAGACGTTAACCTTCAGTTCCGTCGGCACCACAGTTGGGAGGACTGGGAAAGCACTGCCCGCTGGAGAAGGTCTTGCTGAGCCCCCGTCCCCGGGGAGATGCATGCAGGTCCATGAGGGAGGGGGAGGTTGTGCATGGAAGGGGAAGGGCTCACAGTTCTTGCTGTCACTGCCTTGTTCTTTGCTGAGCTCTTGTACCTCCTCACTGCAGATCTGTGACTGTTTGGGGTGCTGAGGTCTGCGCTGACCCAGCGAGGCTCTGGGTGAAGAGGGCAATGGATATACCTAGAAGAAAGAGCTGAAACCTTTGGTCTGCCACCTACAGATAGCCCCCCACAGCTGATGTGCTTAGGTTACAGTTTAAAATTACTCATTCTTTTGTCCCCAGGCCAGGAAACCCAACCTGGGCCCTGGGAGTTAGATGAGGCTTGTGTTAACAATCTTCCCGTTTCTCCCGCTCTCCCAATTGGGATGTAGAAGATTATCCTAATTATGTGGAGAATCCAACTTGCTAAGGGCAATCTAGGTAAGGCTTGTACTTACGCGCAGTACTCGTGGAGCAGGATGGACAGTCACGCTCGGTGCCTTGGTGTTTGCACTTGGGTCGCAGCATCTTGGTAAAAGCTTTTGCAGCAGGTCTTGGACAGGAGAATGTGGGCACCCACCTCTTCTGCTGCTTTCCTGCCGCAGTTTCCAGCTGGTGTCCATGCCTGGAGATGGGGCAGGGCAAGGCTTGGGGGCACGTAGCATCCCTCCCCGCTGTGCTGATCGTCCATGGCTCAGTGGTCCTGCCCACCTCACCCGTGGCAAGAGATATGCTGTGTCGTGGTTCAACCTCAGTCGGCAACTGGGTACCACACAGCCACTCGCTCACTCCTCCCCCCCCCTGCGTCCTGGCTGTGCCCCCTCCCAGCTTCTTGCTGGCAGGGGATGAAAAGCTGAAAAGTCCTTGACTAGTGTAAGCACTGCTCAGCAACAACTAAAACATCGCTGTGTTATCAACATTGGTCTCATCCTAAATCCAAACCACAGCACTGTACCAGCTACAAGGAAGGAAATTAACTCCATCCCTGCCGAAACCAGGACAGCTGCCAGCTTTGCCCATTCCAGGATCCTTGGTGCTGATGTCTCTGAGATGGGGGGAGAGCATGAAGGAGTTCACCTTGTGTCCAATCGGCTTCATCAGTGATAGTGAATGTGAGAACTAGAATAGAAATGAAAGGGAAGGAAGCAACAAGTATGCGTTGTTGCTTGGTCATGAGGCAAGAGGAGAGGAAAATTCAAGTGCGGAGAGGAACTGAACGTCAGAAAGAGCATGGGAAGAGATGAAGAAGTCCAGAGGGGAGAGCAAGAGACACAGAGCCTCTTGTTTGTCATTCTTGTGTCCCACAAGAATTTAGTTTTATGACCCTCCCGTCAGCAAATATCCTGCTGGTGTTGCTGTTTCTCTGTGTGGGTCGGTTCCCAGATAAGACCTCAGCTGTGCTTCAGCCAGGAGGTTCCACTGGCTGGTGGAGAAAAGCTCCAGCAAAGACCCTTTCCTCCAGGAGACGCATGTGGCTGGGCTGTGCGTGCGCGGCACGGGGAGTCCAGGGGAGACCCACGGTGCGGAGCGGTGCAGCCAAAGCCAAGTGTGTAGGACTCTGCCCTCTCCCTGGCAGAGATGCCCATGGGGCTTTGGGAGCGCAGCCACCATGCGGACAGGTGCAGGATCAGCCCAGGGGCACACCAGCATTCGCAAATTCTCAGCATCGCTTGCTTTCTGCGACCATCCTTCTGTCTTTGACCCAGGAGCATCCCTGCGGGACAGGCTCTGCCATCCTCTTCTGCTCCCCGTGCTGCGGTGAAGGTGGTGTTGGGACCATGCTCACTGGTGATAGAAGATGGTCCCAGTAGGATACTGCTCCCCAGACTCTGTTTCGGGGAGGGCTGTGGTGGCGGGTCCCCATCCCGCATGCTCAGTTTGGGCTCCATCATCTCGGAAAACGGGGAGAAAACAGGGATGGAAGGGGGCAGAGAAAATGGGAGGGGAGCCATGTAATGTGGGGATGTGGGGGTGCCGCCTTTGGAGAAGGGAGGATGTTGGGTCTGGCTTCAAAATGGGGTAGGGGGGTGATTACTGGAAATGCTGACAGGGAACTGAAGGGGAGGAAACGGCAGGTGGGAGCAGGTTTTGCTCTGAGCACGAAAGGGGAAGAGCGGTGGCGGGCAGCGGAGGGCCTGCAGGGAGCAGCAGAGATTGCACCCACAGAGGCTGGGGACACAGAGGGCCCTGCGCCCGCTGCCCGTGCTACCCGCGTCCTTTCGGTGTCTGGCCTGGTCGATGCAGCTCTGGGGAGGAAAGGACGTCCCTCCAGCCGGAGGTGGCAGGGGGATGCAGGGGGCTACTTGGAGCACCCCATCCCCACAGGGCAGGAGCCGGGACCTGGGTGCTCAGGGCCAGAGCCGGACTGGGGAGCCTGGTCCCTGCCTGGCTGGGGCTTGTACATCCCATGTCTGAGCAACCAGAAAGCTCTGACCGAGCCCATCCCCACGTCAACCCACAGCGGTCCTCGATGTTTGGGGGTTGGCAGAGTGTGTAGATCCCAACCCAGCCTCAGCTAGCACGCTGGACGGGGTGGACATCACCCCGTCATCCCGCCGTGACAGCAGCATCGCTTTCTCCAAGGGGTCCGTTCCCTGGTGTAAAACAAAAAGGACTCAGGTGGCACGGGGAGGTGCTGCTGTAGGAAACTGGGGAAGCCCTTTCCCCTGCACCCGCCCGTGCCGGGGACGGGGAGCTACTGGGCTGCAACCTAAAATACTGGGAAGTGGCCATCAGCGGTACTCAGCTGCGTTATTCGGGTCCATCTCAGGGCTGAGAGCACGTGGCTGGGATGAAACCGCAGAAGGAGTCAAACAGCGAAGAGAGGAGATAAAAATCAGGCTGAAGCAAGAGAAGGGGAAGCCTGCGAGTGCAGAGGGAACTGCCTGACCGAGCGGCGAGGAGGTGAGCTCCAGGCAGGGCTGCAGCTTGCCTCGGCTGAGCAGTGACCCTCGTGTTGCGGGAAGAGAAAGGAACCTCCCAGCCGATCCTGCTGGGTGCCCAGCATCGTCACCGTGAGGCTGTCGGAAAGACGGCATGGAGGTCCGGCTGGCCGGCGGCTTTCTGCCCCTGCTGCTCCTCGCCTGGCTGCCCACCGGTGAGTCCCCCTGTACCCTCACCTCAACTCTTCCGTCTTTGCATACACCTGCAGGATGTTTGGAACGTGGCTGCTGCTGCTTTTTCCTCTCCTCTTGCAGCATTTAACCCCCCCCTTCTGCACCAGCACCTCGCCATGTGCCTTGCAGAGGGGGCCCCCCCTGCAACTGCCTATGCCCAGGCTGTGGGCTCTGCCCACGGGGACCCAATTTCAGGCTCTGGGGCTTTGAACCAGCATTGCCTTAGCAGCAGGGAGAGAAAACAGTCGGGAGTGGGAAAGGAAACAAGAGATGCTTATAAGCCTGATGACTGCGAAGGAGGTCAGCTTCACGTGGAGGATGCGGATATTCCTTAACACAAACCCTTTTTTGGGTTTTTTTGGCAGGACTCGCTCACCAGATTTCAGACACGATCAATGTGTCGGTAGGGTTAGGTCTCATCTTGCAGTGTCTGCCCAAACACGGGCTCGAGCAGCACAGCTAGGGAGATGAAGTTGTTTAATACTGCTCAAAACAACAGAAAAAAGCAGAACAAAAGTGGTGGTGTGGAGATGAAAAAGGGTTCTGCCCGGCTCATCTTCGCCAGCGTGAACAAAGCACGTACGGGAACGTACACGTGCAAGATGGAGAACACAAAAAACATGTCTGAGAACAGACATTCCAAATGGAACAAGTGTGGTAAGAGACACAAGCCCACCAACACCCACAGGAGCGGAGAGAAAGGACTTAGGAAGGGAGAGGAGAGAGGGAAGAGAGGGAGGACTCTGCTGAGAAGGTGTGAAGTGACTTCAGCTCAGAGGTTCAGGAGCGATTCTGAAGTACTCCGGAGTGAGCATTAGGGGATGGGATGAAGCCAGAGAGGCTGCTCTACATCTACTACGTTTTCTTTGCTTCTCTAGGGCTGACCGGTTCCCCACAGCTAGCCCCCCAGTCCCACCTCACGCTTCATGAAATGGTGGAGCCTGAGCCTGTGGCCTCGGTAGCACGTCCTGCTCTGGTGCCAGAAGACCCTTCTGCCAAGGTTGCAGGAGGAGGAGGAGGTGTCCTTCCCCCCGATCCTCCCATTTTCAATCATTTCTGAGACAGAGAAATGCTTGTGCGCTGCACAGCGTTGGGTGGCACTAATCAACGTGCAACATTTCAACGTTCACTGTTGAGGAACAGCCGGATTCGGAAAAGGGCATCAGCTGCTGGAGGAAAGGACAGTTACTTCACCGTGTCTTTCATGAGCGACACGTGCCAGTGGGATATGACCCCTGCAAGGTCATATATATGACTTATATTTCACTTATCACTTATATTTTTGTTTCCTCCAGGGACAGTCAGCCACCCAGAAGAGTCAGTCATCCCTGTGGAGTGCAGGTTCAGGATTTGTCTGGAGAATCTCATGGTACCTGTGAAGTGGTACAAACCTGCAGGTCTGGAGGTGGGGAATCAAACCAACACCACGACTCTGGGAGAAAACTGTATCAAGGTCACCAGCCCCAGCGTGTGTTCAGCCCACACAAGAATCTGTGTGTGTATGGTGTTCGAGACAAGAATAAACTTGACAGACACTGGAAACGGCATGCAAGGGACAGTTTCCAGTAAGTGGCACTGCTCCCATTTTCATGGGGGTGATGAGTGGGCAGAGAAGGATGCTACCACGAACAGTCCCCCCGGTACCCCCGTGCACCGTTTCCCCCAAAAGCATCCCGGGCACTGGAGGAGCCAACCCAGCACAGCCCTTTTGGCAGATGCATCCCACCACAGAGCTGCTTGGCCATCGGGTCCTTGAAATAGGACGCGCCACATCCTCCAGCTGCGGCACGTCAGCCGAATGCTGAGGTGGCTGGAGCTGCGGTGGCAGGAGCGTGAGAGCCAGGGCTGTGGGATCCAGGTCCCTGCCCCAAAGCAGAGCGGGGAGCAGGGTGTCCTCTGCCTCTGGGCAGTCTCTCACTTGTGTTTCTGTCTTCCAGGCTGTGGCCCTGGGGCACCTCAGACCAATGTCACCGAGAAGGAGACCTGGACAGGTGAGTCCCCACAGCCCCGTGGCTGCAAGCGTGGGGGGCAGGAGGCATCCTCAGGGAGAAAGAGGAGCAGCAAGGGGGGAAACACATCCTGATGTTTTCCCATGAGTGGGTGGGAGCTGCTGGCCAACAGGGGTAGGCAGCAGTGGATCAGAAGCTGTGACGCTGGGAAGGCGCTCTGATGGTCCGACTACCCCCCTGGCTGAGTTCAGATGAGTTTTTGGAGACTGTTCCCCACACGATTTTGTCAGCACCCTGGGGCTGTGGGGGCTGCGGGTGGTTCAGGGTCTGGAAGCCCAAGTTTGGAAAAGAACCACACCCCACCCACCACCCCCCCCGAAAGGGGCAATGGCAGCGTGCATCCCTGCAGGGTGGGATGGCAGCTCATGAGTGCCTCTGTGATGGTTGTGTGTGCAGGACTCAGCTTCCTCCCGTGTGTCATCTTCGGCTTAGCAGTCGGGACGCTTCTTTACATGCCGATAATTTGCCTTCTGCTGTGGCAGTGCAGAAGGAACAGAAAAGGTAAGACTGAGCCCGCGCTGAGCCTCCGTCTCCTGTGGGAGCTGGTCGGCACCTCCTCCTCACCTGCTGGTCTGGACAAGCCCAGGCTTGGGAGATGTCCATCTTCAATACCCTACTGCTCCTGCTCACTCGGTGTTCCCTGCACAGTCTGTCCTCCTGGACAAGCTGTCCCAGGGTGGGGAGAAGGTTCACCCCCTCCCTTCCCTCTGGCCAGTTGCTGGTGAGAACCCAGTTATGGCACAAGCCGTGGTGCAAGTGAAACAGGTCTTGCACATCACCACATTTCCAGAAGTGTCCAGCTCAGAGCTCTTCTCCAGCCCCTCCAAGGGCTTTTAAATCCTTGCCAAACCCTCCTGCCCCCTGGCCATCTTCAGAGCCAGCTAACCGCAGAGCCCCATCCTCTCCTGCAACAAAAGCAGGACCAATGCAGATGTTTTCTTCATTTAAAATAATGATCGTTATCATTATTTTAACTACTATTTAAACTATGTTTCCTTTTTCAGGAAAGCTCACAAGCAGGCAAGTGGCGGAGGGGAATCAGCTCAGCACGGTAAGCCAGGGAGGGCTTCGCATGTATCGTTTCCTTGTCCCTGTAAAAAGCAGCACTGGTTGTTGAGTACCCATTTAAAGGATTTCAGAGTAAAATCAGCTTTGCTTTCTGAAAATGTGGTCCTAAACACTTATTAATTCCTACTAAATAGGGGCTTACAAGCTTCTGAATAGGTGGCACCTCTGAGCAAGCTGGATAATGCTTGGGCAGTGCAAATGGTTGTGCCAGTGGAAAAATACTAGCAGGGGAGATGCAGAAGGGAAAGCCAGGGCTCTACTCATTGCTCTCTCCCCTGTAGGCATCTCCGGTGACAGGGACCGAGGACCTGACCTACGTCAACCTGGAGTTTGAAAAGAAGGGGACAAACCCCACCTCCTCCGATGTCGTTTACACCGAGATCAAAGCGTTGCAACAAAAGCAGAGCAGCAGGGATGCTGGTGCTGCCAATGCAGGGGTGGATGTCTCCCCAGAGGGAGAGGGCAAATGAGGGAGAAGGGAGGGATGAGCAGCTTGTTGTACACCTGTCGAGGTCATCATCCCCGAAAACTAGGCGTTAGCTTGTACGGAAGTGCAATCTTGGCGACCAAAGCCACCTATTTACCCCCAAATGACTGCACCACTGTGCTTTATGCTCCCCTGGAAGAACCCATCTCTTGCGGTGAGGACAGGGCTCTTCCAGCTGGTTTTCCCCTTGCCTTCCTGCAGCCCCAAGCACTGGCAAGCCTCGGCAACTCCTTTCACAGTCTCCGGTCACCGATGGGTTCCTCTAGCAACTTGCTCCATGTTTCAGTGATGTCACCGTGCACCGCGTGGCCACCATGGTCCAGGAAGCACTTGGTGTCCCCTTGGTGCTAGAAATGCTGGGTGGGGTGGCCATGAGAAGCTCCTCTCGGTGCTGAAAAGGTCCTGGAGCAATTGTCTGGATTTTCTCCGGAGCAGGCACCTGCTGTGATGTGGGTTGACCTTGCTCTGGTTCACTCGCTTGAAACACAAGAAGCAAGGGTGGAAAGGCATCGTTTGCTTCGCAGAGGTGCAATGCAAGTGCTGCTGCAGTGATCTGCGTGGATCTGCTTCATGGTGGGAGTGGACGGGTGTCCTCATGCATGTAGAGCTTTCCTGTAATTTGGGGAAAAAAAAAAAAAAAAAGGAAATAAAAAGGGATGTTTTCACCCTCAGTGTTTCCAGTTCTCTACTCCTGATGGAGACCCAGTGAAGTCCGGCAGGAATAGTCACCAAGCCCTGGAGACTTTCTGGTTTCCCCGCTCAGTCCAGTTTCAGAGCAGCTACCCGTGGGAGACATCCCCAAAGTGGTGGCGGTGGAGCTCCCTGTGTCCTGGGGCAGAGCTCAGGTCACGTACAGCCAGGAAGACACAGACAAGGGCTACAGAAAGGGAAAAATTGGGGAAAAAAAAACCCCAATATTTGGGGGGAGCAACCAGTGGAAAAGGGGGTGGGATGTGAGGGTCAAAGTGCTGAACCGGGGAGGCTCATAGAGGCATCAAGGTTGCTGGGGGATGCTGCCCAGGGATGCAGAGCAGAACCAGGCTCCACCAAACTGCAGGACATCCTCACCAGCCTCCTCCTGGGTACCTGCAACCATGGAGGAGGAGGAGCAGATGGAGGAGGATCCCTAGGGGTGCCCCAGCTTGGAAAGGGCATAAGTTAAACTGGCAAGTATGAAATGCAGCCAAAACTTCAGCAGCAGCTTCTGAAGGAGCTGGAGGAGGAACTGAAGGAGATGTGCCAGGTCTCCCCCTGGCCGCAGAAAGGAAGTGAGATGGAGGGTCTCCAGAACATCTCGCTGCCTGTCGCTCCTTGGGGGGCTGTTTCCAACCTACATGCCCAGAGGTCCATGGGATTTGGCTTAGAGCAGACACTGCTCAGCCACGGCTCCCACCCCATCCTCGCGACAAGGAGACCCATCGCTTGTGTTTGGGTGGGACGCGAGGGTGGCCATCCCACACCCTCCTGATGTGGCACTGGGGCAGCCAGAGAGGCTGGGGTGGGGCAGAAGTCCAACAAGGGATCAGCAGGGGGTCTGCTGGCCACCTTTTTGTTGACAGCGGCTGAACATGAGCCGGCAGTGTGCCCAGGTGGCCAAGAAGGCCAATGGCATCCTGGCCTGTATCAGAAATAGTGTGGCCAGCAGGAGTAGGGAAGTGATCGTGCCCCTGTACTCGGC